TTCGTGGGAATGGGGAGGGCGGTCAGGCGGGCCGCATTTGCAAGCAGAGCCCATGCTTTGTTGAACCATCCTTTACTGCAGTGTTTCTCAACCTTGGCAGCGTTAAGATGTGTGGACCTCAATTCCCAGTTTGGGGAGTTTGGGGATTTGAAGTCCATGCGTCTTAAAGTTGCCGAGGTTGAGAAGCACTGCTTCACTGAATCAGCCAGCAGTAGATGGGAATATGTGGAGCTCAGGGTTAAACTGTTGGGTGCTCTCTGTGCTTGGTTGTTTCTTAAAGATGCTTATAATTACATCTGCAAGAAGACAACCAAGTCAGAGAGCACCAAGAAGCCACTATTGTTTGGATTTACAGGGATGCGCTTAAGCCAAACACCGTGCTTTTCAAGGGTGGTGTGTGACAGCATTACCCTGCTTTTCTACTCAGAAGGGCATTCAAGAGTTAGGGGGCATCCAGATGTTACTTGTATTTATTTGAAATGTGTACCTAACAGGTGATTGGGAAAAGAGCATGCTTTCATGGGTTTCATGGGTAGAAACAGACTAAAGAACTAGAAGCAGAGGGGTCAAATTGGAAGAATGTTTAAAGAGGGTAAAACCCTTTGTGACCAATTTAAATTGTTTATAAAGGATACAGAGGTATGAGCAGTGAGTTTGCTAGTTATGGTTCCATGCTTTTCAGGGTAATAAAATAAGGAAGTGCAAAGGGATTTAAGAGGATCTAAATTTGATGGGTGGGCCCCAAAATAGCAGATGTAATTCAGTGCAAGTAATGCGGTATGATGCACATTAGCCTCCAATGATATAAACTTCACAGATTCATTACTAGGTTCTGGACTGGCAGTGGCCAGTCAGGAAATGGATCTCAAAATCATAGGATAGGTCAATGAACATTTCAAGCTTGTAGGCATGTTTTGTAAAAAGTCAAATGTCATGCTTTGAATCATTCAGAATGGAATTGAAAATCAAGCTGCCAGTGTGGTCTAATATAAATCTGTAGTGAGATTGCACTTGGAGTACTGTATGCAGTTCTGGTCATCATTTCTGAAAAGAGATACTGTATTGTTCAGCTGAGAAAGGGGAATCAAAATGACTAGAGGACTAAAGCTGCTTCCATATTAGGAAATATTAAAGCATCTGGAACCTTTTAGCTTGTGGCTAAGATATGTAAGGAAATACATAACAGAGATATACAATCATGCATGGGACTGAAAATGTGGATAGAGTTTTTCTTCCTTTCTCACAACCACAGGTTAGAATGTTATACAAACAACCATTGTCTACTCACTATGCAGTTAAGGTTAATGTATAGATTTGGCAAACAAGCATGTGGGATAGGAGTTGACTTGTCAAAGGAAGTTTTGTACTTTATGATTAAAATGATCACTTTCTGGATTTGCTTGGATATATGAATCCATGTGCACTGTTGATTAGTTTTTTATGTAAATATTTAAAACAACTTCAGTACAGGTAGTCCCCGCTTAACAACCGCTTCACTCAACGATAAAGATTCTGGTCCCAATTGTAGTTGTTAAGCGAAGACTACCTGTATTCATTTTTAATGCAGAATGTGCAGATTGCTTCAGAGAACCAGGATTGGCTTGAACTCCCTGTCAAGTGGGCACTCATAATACTGATTTTAGTGTAATGCATTATGATTTAGAAGAAGGGTAGTCTTTAACACTGGAGGCCTGATTTTTGGAAAGCCAGAACCCAAGCTGGCTAATCCCTGCTATAATGCATTAAATTACTATAGTCTGGCATAAGGCAGTAGAAATGCTCAGTCTTTTCATGTGTATGAAACTTAATTTCAGGGACCAACTGGAAAGAGGGGGTATCCATTACTCCTAAAGGTCTGTTAACTCCCAGTTAGATCTGTGGCTTTTTCAGTCATTTTTATAATGATGTCATTACGCAAATGATGCAAAATATGTCATTTGCAGCAATGTACACCACTTTCCTAATGACATTGTTATGTAAGTTGCGTAAATTGAGTGATTGATATAATTTGCAAATTGTGTAAAACTAATGTAAATTTGACTGGCTCATACAGACTATTACACTACTTTGGGAGCCATTGACACATCTGTTTTTCAGGTTATGTCTGGACACAAACTTGGTTTGTTGCATTCAAAGTCCATAAAGTGGGGTCTGTGAAATTGAGGATTCCCTGTACTGTGTGTTAGTAAGACTTATCTTTGAAGAATACAGTTTGACTCAAACTAACAAAAAGTCCTGGATGGACGATTGTTTGACCCAGAATTATGTTTTATTAACATAATATTATCTGCACCTACTCATGAATATGTCATATTGAATTCAGTGGGGCTTATTTCTATCTTATTTATGTATGACATTTCTATACCGCTTCAGTCACAATAGACTAAGCAGTTATAGGATAGCAACTTTGAGCTTTTAATGAATGACTGTTTAAAATAAATAGTTATGTATGTACAGTATAAAAGCTATTTGGAGAGGGTGGTAAAAGCTGTTAACTGCTATCTTCTTGCATTGCCTAGCAAATCTTTTAAGTTCTTACAAGGTGGACTTTAATTCCAAATAAGTGTATAAGAACTCTGTATGTTAATACTAAATTGAGCTTGAATTAATATTTCATTCTTTAGATTGACAATTAGTTGAAGAACAGGAATCAGAGAGAGTAGGGAATAGGTAGTCAGTTTTCACAGATTTTTAACACTGATGCTACTGAACTCATAAGTGATACAGAGTTAAATGACAATGGGTGGGCCAGATTTGCTGATACTTAATTATTCAGTTGTTAAATTAAAAAAAAAAGGATTGCAAAGAGTTACAAAAGGATCTCACTAACCTGGCTGCATAAATATAGAGAATCACACTGAAGCAATCAGAAATCTGTTTCCCATATACACTAATAGGGTCTGAGCTGGCATTGACAGAGATTTTGGAACTGTGGTAGGTAGCTCAAATAAAATGTCATTTTTGCGTAAAAGCTGTAGAAAAACAAGAAATAAATTCCATGTGTGGAAATATTTGAAGGCAAATATTTGAAGAGTTTGAAAGCTGAATTAAGATCTGGCTCATCGTTTGAAGTTAAATACTTCAAGAAGAATCTGTATCAATAAAAAGATTCATAGCTGAGCAGTAGAATTCAACAATGTAAAGGGGTTAGACGAATTAAGGGAGAACAGGGTTACTCTAGTATGCCCTAGATTTAGTCACTAAGAAGCAGCATTTGAAGACAGTTATCTTCATCTCTTGGTTGCAGCTGATTGGCCTCACTATGACATAGAATGATAGATCAGACTTTGTCCTGGTCTAACAAGTCCCTTATATTCATTTGTTTAAAGCCTTAACAATACAGTGCTAATAAATATTACATCTGGGTTAAAACACTGTTGTTATTATTTTTTAATAAATTGGACTCCTATAAAGGCAGCCATGTCAATACTACACTATAAAAGGCTTAGTTTGTAATTGTTATCAAAACTAGGAGCTTATTCTCTGTTTTTAGGATTTTTATTAAAATTTCTTAATCTCATAATCAGAAATCTAAAGATTCTTCTTGAGAGAGATTTATCAAAAGAGCGTCATGAGTTGCTAAAGGACCAAAGATTGTTTCGTAACAGAGCAAGAAAACATTCTATAGAAACAAATAAAAGGAGGAGGTATGTAAATATCAGGCATGCTTTTTTTTTATTTTACAGTAATGCAGATTAGCTGTTGTCCTGTGTGTATGTTGACTTTCCAATATGGTATGATGACTGAACAGATAGCAGCTTATTTAAATAGTGAAACATTTCAGTTCCTTCATAAGAAAAGAAGTATGTTGGATCTTGATTAAGCTTTGTTTGAAGTGGCTCCATTTAAATCAATAAAACTTTTAAATAAATAATGAGAGTTACAGGATAGTGATCTTTTGAAATAAATCTTAAACAAAATCATGAAAATAAGCCATTATGTTATTCATTTTATATGATTTATAGCTGCCCATTTCACACAGATGACTCTGGGTGACATTCAAGGATTAAAAACACAACCCCCCCCCCCAACATACAACCCCTAGTACCCAAAGATAAACAGTGGGGGCACAAAAAGAGCACATCAACAACAGCAGAACTCATTTACAGATAGTCCTCATTTAGTGACCATAATTGGGACCAGCAACTTGTTCATTAAGTGAAGTGGTCACTATGTGAAACTGTGCTTATGATCTTATTTCAGCTTTCCTTTGGTTTACAGACCTGCGAAGGTCGTAAATGTGAGGATTGGTCATGAAGTTACTTTTTCACTACCATTGTAACTGGTGGCTAAATGAGGCAGTTGCTGAACGAGGACTACTTGTAACCTCCTGACCCAAACACCTCTCTTATTATTAAATGTTGTTATACTACTGCTTTTCATTGTGCAATGTTGTTTTTTTAATGAAAACTTTATTATATAGAAAGTACAATTAAAATACACAACAGAAAGTACAACAAAGAAAGTGGGTAGAACTAAAAGAAAAAGACTAAGACTAAAATAGTGAGAATAGATAGAAAAATGAAACAAAGTGACTTCCAACTATCTCCAATACAGATATAGATACAGATTGAAAGAAAATTAATCTCTTACCACTAATTAATCCAAATTCACATTATTTCTATCAACACAAACCATCTAGATTGTGTCTAATTAAAACCCACAATCAGAACCTCATTTTTTTCCCACACAAGCACTTAATGATAGAAAAATGAAACAAAGTGACTTCCAACTATCTCCAATACAGATATAGATACAGATTGAAAGAAAATTAATCTCTTACCACTAATTAATCCAAATTCACATTATTTCTATCAACACAAACCATCTAGATTGTGTCTAATTAAAACCCACAATCAGAACCTCATTTTTTTCCCACACAAGCACTTAATCGAAGAAGGGTTGCCATGAGGAGACAAATTTAGAAACAGTATTATCTCTTATTAATGCTGTTA